ACACACTACAGCTTGATGAGGTATGCCATTGACTTAGTTTATTTGCTCTTAACATGTGATTTGATAAGAAATGTAAGAAATAGGCCTTACTTGGGCCATTTTGGATGAAAATGCGTCCTAAAACACTTGAATTGCTCCTTTCATGTGATTTCAAGCCCTAGGCACCTATAACTAAGTAATAATGACATGTTATGAGAAAGAATGAGTTCATTTGACAAGAAATGTAGGAAATAGGCATCCTAGTAGTCAAACAGGCCTTACTTGAGCCAATTTGGATGAAAATGAACCCTAAAACACTTAAATTGCTCCTTTCTTGTGATTTCAAGCCTTAGCCGCCTATAACTAAGTAATAATGACATGTTATGAGAAAGAATGAGTTCATTTGACATGAAATGTAGGAAATAGGCATCCTAGTAGTCAAACATGTCTTACTTGGGCCATTTTGGATGAAAATGCGTCCTAAAACACTTGAATTGCTCCTTTCATGTGATTTCAAGCCCTAGGCACCTATAACTAAGTAATAATGACATGTTATGAGAAAGAATGAGTTCATTTGACAAGAAATGTAGGAAATAAGCATCCTAGTAGTCAAACAGGCCTTACTTAGGCCAATTTGGATGAAAATGAACCCTAAAACACTTAAATTGCTCCTTTCTTGTGATTTCAAGCCTTAGCCGCCTATAACTAAGTAATAATGACATGTTATGAGAAAGAATGAGTTCATTTGACAAGAAATGTAGGAAATAGGCATCCTAGTTGTCAAATAGGCCAAAGTAATAAATTTTTGCCTAACTGAACTTGTAAATGTATTTTTACATGCATAACCTAAGTAATTAATTCTAACATCCTTTTTGTTTATTCCAAGTTTTGCAAGGTACAAAAGGAAGGTCCGTTGACGAGCAAAGAACTTAATGAAGTTCGAGACATGTTGGCGTCCTTCATCACATTTAACTTGTAAATATCATTTCTATTTGAACTTGTTAACTACATTATTGATTAGTATTATTTGTAATTATGGCACTTTTTTTTAAATTAGTATTGTTTGTAAATAGTATTGCATTTGGGATTATTAATTAATATCTATGTATTGTTATTATTTCAATTTACACATTATTGTCATTGTTATATAATAATTGTAGAATTAATGCATGATGTACAGGTTCTCATTATTATTATTAGTATTAGTATTAATATTATTATTTATTGGAGAAAAAAAAACACAGTTAAAGGCACCGGTTCAGGCTTCAAACGGTGCCTATTGTACTGAAATAAAAAAAAAACAAAAAAAAAAGAAGCGCACCATGGGTAATTGGCACCGATTAACCGGTGCCAAAGAGTGTATTTAGCACCGGTTAACCGATGCCAAATCTTTAAATAGCCACCGGTTTTGAACCGGTGCCAAATCTTCAGAGATTTGGCATCCCTCAAATACTCAACGGTTCAAAACCGGTGCCCATACGGTGGTTTGAACCGGTGCCAATTTATGTTTTTCGCCTAGTGAAATGACAGTACTTGCTCTTGTCCCGGCTTTTGATGGAACTTTTCATTGCAGCCGGTTTTTCAATAGTCAACCGATCTTTAATCTCCATGAGGATAGAGGAGCAGTCCTTGTTGAACTCGTACCTGGGGACGTACGACTTTAACTCTCTCTTTTTCTTCTAGGACGGCTGACCAGAATGGTCCGCCACCCAGACTTCTTTTCTTTTCTTGCTCTCTTCTTTTTTAGCCGGCTGAGCAGACCGGCTCTCCTTTTTGTCGAACTTTTTAGGGTCCGACGGCTGCTTGATGGCATAGAGCTCCGTCGCCTATATGTAGGCTTCAACTTCCATCAATGCCTCTTGGAGGGTAGCAACCCTCTTCCTGACCAGGTCGAACTTAAAGGTCGACCCGTCCTTCAGACCCTTGAAGAAGTCTGTGTAGGCAACTTCGTCAGGCAGCCCTTGAATCTGAATTCTCATCAGATTGAACCGCCTGACATAGTACCATAGTCCTTCTCTGTCTCCCTACTGAATAGCCCCCAAGTCGAGACTTGTCTTTTTGGCAGGGATGTTCATAGAGAAGTTGGACGCGAACAGGTATGCAAGCGTCTTGAAGTTGTTGATGCACTCGGCTGGCAGATTGTCAAACCATCGTTGGGCTATGCTCTTCAATGTTGCCAGGAAGCATCGGCATCAGGCAGCATCATCCAACCCCTGTAAGTACATGAGGTTGGTGTAAGCCATTAGGTGGTCTTCCGGGTTGGTGGTACCGTCATAGGTACCAACCAACACGTTCTTAACCTTGGCCGGCTGAGCCGCCTCGGTTATCCCCCTGTAGAACGCCGACGGCTGTTCCCCAAGGTTTAGCAGCCAGAGCTGCCAGTCCATGGGCTAGACATTTCGTGCCGCCTGACCCCCAAATAGGGCCGCTTGCATGTATGGTGATCCATACGGCATGTATGGTTGTTGGGGCACATACGGAGCCGGCTAGATAATCTGAGGGCTAGTACGTGCGGACACGCCGCGTGACTGACTCTCTCGGTTTGTTTCCGAATACATCATTGAAGTATTCCGAAAACTGTCTGGGTAAGTCGATGTTGAGGCCGACTCAGACAATTGTTGACTTCTCTTCTGCTGGATTAACATCCGGGTATCTGAGTAAGTCCTTTTTTATCCAACCGGCTGAACTTGCCGGATGGCTTTCCTTTGCCATGATTCATGGAAACGGAGCTTTGAAAGGTCGATCATGGGCCTATCCGCCCCCTTTGGTTTAGGGTGTGGCGTAGGCACACGATCTTTCACATGTTTCTTCCTAGAAGGAGAAGGCTTCTTGGCCGATCGACCCTTGTTGGTGCCAGTTGACTTGTTTATTAGGTCCTTGATTTCCCCGTTGAAACTCGTCATGAATTTCATGAGTTCGTCTCTAGTTACGGGGGCAGCACCCTCCGCCGCCTGGGGTCGCCCAGCCGACTTGACGGTTGGGCTACTAGGACCAGCTTTGTCTTCGCCCCGTTCCCTTGTTTCCTTGGAACGGATGCGTCTCGAACTGAATGACCCGTCTGGGGCCACGTAGGTGTTGTCACCACTATCTTGGTTTGTGTGGACCTCAGTTTCGGCCATAGGTCGTTTGCCCTCAACAGGCGGTATAGGCTCTGATGCCATCTAGGAAGTACTCTCCCCACAGACGGCGCCAAATGTTTCGGGGTTTTTGGAGTCCCTCGGGAGAGTTACAATTCCAAGAATGCGTGTCGACCATCTGTACCTGCAAAACCACGGAAACTCCGGTCGGGTGGAGTTCCGCCTCCGACGATCAAGTTAGAACATTTCCGGATGTATTAAAGTGTGGAATGTAAAGGTTTTTCTCTCGGATTCCGAGAGAATTCTGCAATTAATATTACTCGATTTTGTGTGTATAATTATGAATGTGTAATAAATGAGGATTTTCCTCTATTTATAGTGAGAGGGGATCAGTTCCCCTTTCATATGTTAGAGCGCCACGTGTAGCCAGAGGATTGGTTCTCTCAGAACCCCTCTGATGCTGACACGTGTCAGCACGTGATTGGGCCACGTGGACAGGTTATTTTTACCCTAAACACCAACTACCCAACTTACCTCTTATTTTATTTAAGTCAATTAAATTAGACCTGGCAATCCTGACCACGACCCGATGACCCGACCCATGACTCAAAATAATGACCCGAAATTGACCTGAAACCCGAAATCAACTCGACCTGACCCATACCCGACCCGAAGTGGAATTGACCCGACCTTAACCTTAAACCCGAACTGACTCGACCCGAAGTGACCCGACCTGAAATTGACCTGATACCCGAATTGACATGACTTGAATTTATCTTAAATTAATTGACCCAAACAGACTCGAAATCAGAAATGACCCGAACTAAAATTACTTTATACTTGAAATCACTAGTTACAACTTAAGCCAAATACTTGACCCGAGGTGATCCAAATTGAAAATAACCGCAATTAAACTGACTCGATTTTTTTTTTTTAATTTATTTGTAATGTATAACAATGTAAGTAATTTACATATTTTGAATATTGCTTTTCTCAATGTTATAGTAATCTTATAATGAAGATGACAACAATAATATAACAATTAACAATGATATTAATACTAACAACTATATTTTCTATAAAAGCAATAATAATTATTTCGATCGTATAAAAAAAAAAAAAAAAAAAAAACCTACTAATAAAGCTTGACTCAAAGTATCGACCAGAACTGTCCTGACCTGATTTTGACCAGGCCCGATAGGCCGATAAATGGACCCGAAAATTGACCTGACCCGAATTGACCCAACCCAAAATGACCCAACCCAAACTTGACCCGACCCAAAGGCGACCCGAAGTGTTGACCCGAACTCGACCCAAAACCCGAAATGACCCGACTCGACCCAAACCCGACCCGAATATCTATTGACCCGAAATGACCCGACCCAGACCCGATCCAAATGACCCATTTGCCAGACCTACATGAAATTGCATAAAATTATGTGTTGGTCAAAGTGTAACACTTATTAAAACATGGAAGGAGTAACAAGTATTTCTTCATTAAAAATTAGAGGGAATTTTTAAAAAATTTCTCTCTTTATATGAAAATATGGTTAAATGGGCTATAATTAAAAACAGTTGACCAGTTTACAAATATTTTTGGTCTAAGTTAGGTTGGGTTAAAAACAAGTTGGGTCGATTTGAGTTACAAATAGTTTGATCAATGAAAGTTTGGGTAATTACAAGGTCGGGACTTTTTTAATCTAAATGATTCCATTGGTTATATACTCCCTCCGTCCCTTATTTAGTGGCCTGCATTTTATTTTGGATAGTCAAAATTAGTGGCTTATTTCTATTTAAAGAGTGTATTTTTTGATAAAATTACACTCTTTTTTACGAGTTGTCATCATTTTTCTTTTATTTTTTTATACTTTTGAGTTTTGAGTATTAAATTATTAGGTCTAACTAGAAACAATGAATTCTAGGTTGATTTGGGTTGCAGATTGTCGAACTAATTTCATCTCAACTTCGGATCGGTTACATAAGACGGGTGAATTGATGGTTTTTCAGGTCAAACCAATTCAGATCCAGCTCAATTTAGAGTAAAATTTTTTAGCCGAGTTAGTTTTTGCAGTTTTTTTTTAAAAAAGTACCTCTACGGTTACGAAAATTTCTTCATTGTCTACATTTTCCCTGTTTGCACTCTTCTCCCTCTCTCTCCTCCATTGAAGCTTACTCTGATTTCTTCATTGAAGGGGCTCGTGAGCTTTCGCTTTTCCATTGAAGCAGCTTCTGAGGTAAGATGTCTGTCTTTATTTTAATAATCGAATATCAATTTCACAATCTAGTTTTGATTGTTAATTTAATTGTTAGTATATTCAATTTAGGGTTCTTCAAAGTTGGATTATTGAACTATTAGTTATAAATTTTGAAATTATGAAAGATTATAATGAGAGATCTTGTTGCTTGGATGCCTAGAAATTTGCTCGCCATATTCTTAAATGAGAAGAATTTAAAGTAGTGTTTAGAAGCCTGATTTCATTTGAAATGGTTCATTTTTAATGTTGGAAATGAAATGTTGAAATTCAATTCCAAGTATAGAGTTTGGCAAATACTGAAAATTTGAAATTTTAGAATTTCAATTGAACTTTGATGTTCGGAAAGTGAGTGGGATTTCAATTATAGAATTGTAAATATTCAACCTGAGATGTAACACAATGAAGATGGGATCTTTCAACTAAGCAATGAAAATTGTACAGATGAACAAGAATTTATCAACATCATTTTAAAAAAACAAAATTTGAAATGATGTTATTTTAGAACATTGGATATTTTGTTATTTGGATTCCCAAAGAAGAATCAATTCAAACTACAAGAAAAATACTTTTTTGAAAAAATAATGGAAACAGATTAGGCTTCAATGGACAAAAATACTTGCATTAAAGAGTTACATAAACTTGATTGTATAGAAGAAATCTTTCCGTAGAACTTGAAGTATAGAAGAAAGGTTCTTCAATGTTTGGCCGGAAACTTCAATGCATCAATTTAATTTACCACTTTAAGTTGAATGAATCAATTCGATTTACTGCAATGTGAGTACTTGGAGTGATGAGGGAGATAGGGGTTTAGGACAGGATAGAGAAATTGAGTTGTGGTTATACAAGAAACTGTACCAATGAGACTAGAAGAGGATAAGATATTGGCTTGGCCAAAAAATTTCAAAAGAAAACGAAAAAAAGAGTCATTTTGATCTACTTAAATTCATGGGCCTCTATCATAGTTTAAAGATTTGGACCAATTACATGATGTCAAATTTTTAGGTTCCCAAACAACTCATTTCACCCAATTCAAAATTTTTAAATGGAATTCTTTCGTTCACACACACCTAACCGTAAATTTAAAGCCTACTTGATTATTCAGTCAACTTTGGTTGCCAATGTAATGCATGCTTTGGTTTATGTAACTCTTTAATGCAAGTAGCCCTGGACAAAACCATGAAAATGGACCTTTTTCCCTTTGGAGGGCGGTTGCCCCTCTTGTCCTTGCTTGGACTTTGACGTGTCCAAATGTCAGACTTGTCCATTTTATGAATTTTCTATGCTTTTGGTAATTTTAGTGTTGAGGATTCAATATGAACCCTTGTTTTAAAGTGAAGAGTCTAGAGCGTACCTACTATGAATGTCACATACAAGATATGAATGTGAAAATGCACAATACAATTAGCTATTTTGTTAGTGTAACACTACTTAGCTAACAATGTTTTTATTTAACATACAATTTATAGCCGTATAGGTTTTGAATTCAGGTTGTCTATTATACACTTGAGCGTCCTGATGTGACGATGGGTAGTGTACACCCACATATTTTGCCCCCCTCCCTCCCTCCTAAAATGAGCAAATGGGTGGAAATTAAAAAAGTAAGACAGAATTAGTCGTCTTCATTAAATCATCATAGCATTTAATTACTTTCACCGTTGATTGACAAATTAATGGTGACAAATTGAGAGTGAAATTAGGCTAGCAGTGTTATTCTAGAAAAATATGTCATCCAATTAGGCTAGCAGAGAAAAGGAGGAAAGAATGTAAATGGGTTTTGAAACCGAGATGTGTTAGTTTCTTTCATACAAATTTGTGGTGTCAACGGTGCAAAGTTTTCCATGTAAGTTTGTCCCACAATCAGGGAAGGTAATGAAGTTGTGTAAGCTAAAGCTTGCATTCCCTTAGGAGAGATAATGTATATTGAGTCATTGAGGTAATGGGTTGCTTTTCTCATGTAAAGGACAGGCTGATCTGATAGCCAGGTTTAATTTTGCATGCATTTCTTATTATATGAATCCAAATCAACTGTCATAGTTTGATTGTGTGACTGTTAGAATAGCTATTGGACTACTTCCTGTTCTTGATAGTAACTTAGGAATTTTTTTAAATAAGCACCAGATAATCTATACAAGCAAGCAAAATATCCTCACTATGCCGCCCCTTGTATGCGCAAGTATATAGAATTGTTTGTTTGCTTAGACCAATGCTTCTAGATTCTATTCTATGTTCAACAATTGTTTTTAAATTTCATTCACATCGAATGTGGGATAATCTATTTGTTGAGTAATACTCCAATGTGTTTGTTTGGGAAGGTTTAGGTAAGGGATCTTTGATAAATTTAAATGATATTTTTTGGTTTGCAGTGAATGGGTTTTTGGACATTGATTGAAGGGTTCCTGCTTTTTGCTAATGCATTAGCAATACTAAATGAGGATAGATTTCTCACTCCGAGGGGGCTGAGTTTTGAGGCTACAACAGGGAGAAAAAAGTCGCTTAAACAACAAGCTGTAGGTCTTATCAATGTAGCTCAATACTTCAGGTTGCCCTTGATAATTTTGAATGTTATCATGATCGTATCAAAGCTGGTTTCTGGATGAGGTAAATGGTGAACAGATTATATCCAAATTATTCATTTAACATAGGACATCGTCACATCTGGATGTTTTGTGCTCATATGGCATCCAATTTTATCTTATTTTTTTGATACGACATGGAGAGAGATGTGTGGGTTTTGTACTTTGCTTTTGAATCTGTTTATGTGATTATTTAAAGGCAGAACTTATGTAAAGGATGTTTTGTATCTATTTTTCAGTTTTATGAATAACAAAAACTTGATTTTGTCATTGATGATGATACACTTTTAGCTTATAACTAGATGGCTTAACATCTATATCATGTACTAGTTCTTTTATAGCAGGCATCTCCCAACAATGCAACTTGTAACCACCGCTGTCGCAAAATCATCATTACCGCCAACCTAAATATCAAAGTATAAAAAAAAATTTGTTTAAAGAAAATCAAAATGATAAAGGTTATCCTAGCTTTGATGCAAATGCTGATTATGGCTATGCTTTGAAAATAACAAGATATCTTTGTAGGTGATTCTGTTCCACGTTAAGACAACCACTCCATAAGGTTATCTATATATAAATCTCATTTCGTATACAAGGAACCAAACGCATCCTGAAGTGAGCAAAATGATACACATTGATTTTTATATTTTGAAATTGTTTGATGTTGTAATTGTACATTCATCTTGCTCCAAGGATGTATTTGACAAATGATTAAATCCGTATTGAACCAAACAAGAAGTGCCAAAATTTGTAAAAAGAGATTCCTCTGCATCTTCTGGGGGTGTAAGTAGGTGACTGTGGTCTAGTACCGAGGTTGTATTCCAGCCCCTGAATGGCTGAATACCATGAAAGTCGAGAAGTTCAAGTTATCCACTATTACTTTTCTGGCACTGATGTGAAGTAAGTTCGCCTCAGGAAAGTGCACTACTACACTACACTGCTCTCAGTTGGAGGTAGCTTGAGAACTTTTTCAGGTTTGTTTATGCCAATGAGGGTCCTGCCCACAATATATAAAATTAACCTTTTCATGGCTAGCTTCCCAAATTCATAACAGATCAAAATCGGTCCACTAATTAGCGAGGGAATGGTCAAACGATGTTCATATTTTGAAATAATTGAAAACAAAGAGAATAGCTTCAGCAAATAAGGATTTTTTACAAAACTAAGCCTTATTAGTAAACTATTTACCAATCTAGACGCGTGGCCAAACTATTTACGAAACTGAGCTTCTAAGGTAAAACGCTGCCTCGGTCAGCGTTTTACTTTGGTTATTATTTTTTTTTATAAAATTTCGTATTTTGTGAAATACAAATTTAAAAAAAAAAATTGGAAATACAGTAAAACGCTGACTGAGTCAGCGTTTTATACATAAGAATAAAACGCTGCCTCAGTCAGCGTTTTATCTGTATACATAACAGAGAAAAACGCTGACTGAGTCAGCGTTTTATTCTTATGTATAAAACGCTGCCTCAGTCAGCGTTTTATCTGCTGGCTGAAGACAGCAACAGCAGGCCCCCAGCAGCAGCCTGTGCACCACCAACACCACCACCCTCCTCCTCCACATCCACCACCCTCCTCCTCCATATCCACCACCCTCCTCCTCCACATCCACCACCACCACCACCACCTTCCTCCTCCACATCCACCACCACCACCACCACCACCCTCCTCCTCCACATCCTCCACCACCACCCTCCTCCTCCACATCCACCACCACCACCACCCTCCTCCTCCAAATCCACCACATCCACCACCCTCCTCCTCCAAATCCACCACATCCACCACCCTCCTCCACATCCACCACCACCACCACCCTCCTCCTCCACATCCTCCAACACCTCCACCACCCTCCTCCTCCACATCCTCCACCACCTCCACCACCCATCCTCCTCCACATCCACCACCTCCACATCCACAATTTATTTTGAACCAAATGAGTCAAACGTGAACAAATAAGGAATTTGAAATTCAAACAAGACATAAATGTATTCAAATAATTATTAAAATAATAATGTAATGTAAGTGTTATGTACATCAACTAGAGAAGGTCATTACAGCAAATAAATCAGATAATTCTATCCTATTCTGACTCATCAATTTGGTGTAACGGCTCTCTATCCTGTATGTCCACTCTCGGCCTTTGACGACGGCTGTAGTGACGGACCGTGGTAAATGGGTTTGGGCGTACTGGCGGAGTCAGCTGGCTGGAAGATGGGTCATCAGGATGACGTAGGGGCGCGTAACTGCGAATGTCGTACTCCTCTGCGCCCGTGAATGACGAAGGATCACCCCCACAGCTACTCTGGCCAGCCTCGAACTGTGAGTGACTAGAGTGGCCGCCATGATCGTCCCGGGGGTGGACGAGATAGGCGTGACCATATCTCTGCAAGGTAGCCATGCCCATATCTCGCACCCGCTCGACCTGTGCTCTAGGCGGCTCAGGTATGCCTGGAAGGACGTCCGACAGTGCGTCAACCATCGCCGTCATATCCAACGCCTGCAGTAATTAAGGATGAGTTAGTTGAATGATATACAAATTTAAAATTGATAAAAATAAGTTAATAAAATACACTTACATATCCCCTGATCACGTCAAAGGATGGATGGTAATGTGCGGATGGCGGTGTGTAGCTGGGGTTGATGAAACGCCGTGTAATCCGCATGTACCACTCCATGTATGGATCGTATGGATCCATAACGCCGTAGATGGGGTCACCAGTGACGACGAACTCCAACCGTCGATGCCACAAGTCAATGTACTGGGCATGCTCTGTCCGCCAGTTCCTGTCGCTCTTTCCCCGACGGTCAATGCGGTGCAGCCGGGCACTAGTGTCACACTGCTGGGGGACAGTCTGTCGTAGTCCAAACTGTCGCATGACTCGATCTGGTAGGTGACCCTCGACGACCTCAAAACAGATCAGGGGGACCCTAGAACGCCACTGCGCCTGATGATCTAGCAGATGTGGAGGCATGGCAGCAACTAAATCAGCTTCATACGGGTCCCATGTCATCTGCGATAACACATAAAAAGTAACATAATAAACAGGTTAGTGCATATTAAATATGTTAAGAGTATACATAATAAATAACAATGTCATAAACAAATTAAAGATTTCACCTGATCCTCGGTCAGTCGATCAAGGTCGTAGATGGATCGTATGGATGTTCCACCATATACAGGTGAAGCTATATGTGAACTCAACGGCATCTGGAACCGATCGTCATGAAGCAGTCTGCTGAAGGACCCCATCCCATATTCAGTTGATGGAATGTCTTGTGAGGGCATTCGGAAGGACTCTGTGTAACCGGAAAAATAGGTAGCTTGTTGATCTGGTCGAGTACTTTGTTGCGTACACGTAGACACTATTTCTACATATATCTCATGTGGATAACCCCTCATTAAAACAGCGTTCCTCAAAGCTTTCAAATGTCTATCGTTAGAACAAGGTAACACTTGAACCGCATTATTAGTCTCAAACCTCATTTGAATGTTAAGTTGTACATTCATTCGGTTTAAGCCAATAATGCTATGAACCTCGTTCATCAGATCGTTGAAAGTCATGTCTGGTCCAAGTGGAAATGGTTCCATATTTCCACCACTATACTGGACATTCGGTCCATCAGACACAAATTCACCCCCCCATCGGCATAACAAAGCTGCGTTTTGTGCAGCCATATTCTATACAACAACCAAAAACACATCTTAATTGCATGCAATCTCCACCAATTCGCACAATAACAACCAAGAAATTCACACTACAAACATAATTAACCATCATTGTTCCAATTCACATAAAAACAAAGTACACAACGAACATATTCACACTATAACAACCAACATATTCTACATAACATAATTTTCGTAATTAAACAACAATGTAGGCTACTTTATCAAATAAAAACAACAATTTCATCAACATTATCAACAATTTCATCAACATTTTCAACAATTTTATCAAACATTTCCACAATTTCATCATAAACTTTCTTACTAAACTAACATCCATTTAGGGCTTTTATACTAAACAATTATCAAATTACAACAAACTAACTTAGAATTATCAACATAATTATCAATTTACATCAAACTAACCTAGAATAATCAACAACATTATCAAATTAAAACAATGTAGTATATAATGCAAACTAACCTAGGTTTTTAAAATTTAAAAACAAATAAGTGAGAAGTACTAACAATGAGATTATAAAGAAGAGGAGAGGCGCGGCGACAGCAGGCGGTAGGCGGCGGTGGTGGTGGAAGGCGGCGGCAGCGACGGCGACGGCAAGGCTATGAGGAAGCGTGAATGCGTTGCGTGGGGAAGAGTGAGTTTGAGTTTTTAGTTTTGAGGAAGAGCGAATGCTCTGCGAAAAATATACCAGGCAAAATCGCTGACTGAGGCAGCGTGTTTCTTTTATTAATGAAACGCTGACTCAGTTAGCGTTTTTCCCTGTAATACACAAAAACGCTGACTGAGTCAGCGTTTTACTGTATTTCCAATTTTATTTTTTTTTACTTTGTATTTCACAAAATACGAAATTTTTTTTAAAAAAAAATTAACAACAGGAGTAAAACGCTGATCGAGTCAGCGTTTTACCTCAGAAGCTTAGTTTCGTAAATAGTTTGACCACGCAACTAGATTCGTAAATAGTTTGCCAATTAAACTTACATTCGTAAAAAATCCAGCAAATAAAGCCGAAAGACTAAATAGTACAGAAGCAGAGTAAATGTTTATGTTTATTGTCTCAACCTTAGGTTGCACGGACACACCACTTGGCAGGCGTGTCTGAGTGGACACATGTGTCGGACACGGACACACGTGGGACACGGGACGACAGGTATCCGACACGCAGAAAACCGTGTCCTTTTTTTTTTTTTTTTAATTTCTGATGCACGGACACGGACCGTATCACCCTAGACACGGTCCGTGTTGTAATGGACACGCACATAGCCTTTACATGCCCAGCTTCCTTCATTCTCTCTCACATTCTCACAAAAATTGAAACCCTAACTCCCTAAGAAATACCCAGCGACAACGACACAGCCACTGAGCCCGTCAGCCGTCGCTTCACCGTCGCCGGTCACTTATCACCGTCGTCCGTCACTCGTCACCTGCTGCTCGTGCTCACCTGCTCTCACCGTCGCTAGTCACAAGGACTCACAACTCAGAACTTTCTTCGTCCGTTCGTCGCCGCTCGCCTGCTGACTTCGCCGTCACTCGTGACCGACGTTGTTCGTCCTCAGCCACCACCACCAGTCTCATTGTCGCCCG